CCACGTGACCCGTTGGGCGGGAGAAACAAAACAATAAAAGGACATAAATAAGTACAACACATTCTTCTTCCTTCTCTTTACTCTCTTAAAAGCCAGACGAACAGGAAGTCACAGATGAAGATGCGTTGTTTTATTCTTGGTAAAAAGGAAACGAAACTTCAATTGTTATATGCTTAGGTACTTTTTATTCACTTTGAAAATTTTACATATACATGTTAATTGTTAACGACATAATAAACAATGACATATAGACATTAGAATCTGAATAGATGTCCGTATCACGGACGGTTTCGAGAAAAAGATGTTTCGTAATACATATCACCTAATAATTATCATTACAATGACCATATATATATGTACAATATTTATAAACATATGATAAATGATTCTATTCAAATACATGAGTTATCCTAATAATTCTTGATATCTCTTATCGTGCATCTTCTCGGCTTTCTCCTGTGCTACACTAATAAGGAGTTTTTTATTCCCTATTCATTTTCCTTTATATTCTTATCATCTTCAGCATCACCTATTTTATAATTTTGTATTTTCCTCGGTTCCTTTTTTGTATCTCTCCATGTATTTTTTATCCTTTTCTTCATTACTCTGAAAATATAAATATAAGAGACAGTCAATAAAAATTCCTACTTTCTATAACATAGTTATAATGTAAACAATAAACTAACTCTTTCTTTTTCTTTACAACTTCTAATTCTTCTTGAGTTTTTACTTCGGCGTCACTTTCCCAATCGCTACTGCGGCCTTCCTTCCTTTTTTTATTTGCAAGTCCAGATGGTTCGACAGCTGTTTGTGAGCTTAATTTTGGATCAGTTAAATGATCATCAGCTGATTTGCCCTTACCACTAAACCTTTTATTTAATATCACAGATTCTTCTTCATCTTCCTTTGTTTCTCCACCAAATGATAAAAGATTCAAATCTCTGTAACACAATTTTTCGTTGTAAAGAACAATACTATCAGGACTAAATTCTGCAAACATATATGATTTTTACTTTACTGCTGCTGTTTTAGTTTTTTAACTGTTCTTTACTTCTTCACTTTCCTGTACTATTATTCTTGGTATAATATCAGAAAATGGATTGTTCAATATTATAGTTTTTATCAATCTTGGAGGATAAAGTGGTCTATCATTCTACAAAAAAGGGGAAATATTATATTTATATCAATTATTGATATATTTTCTTGTAAACATTAAATTTACCTCATTTACAAGTGCTTCTTCGAGTTTAAACATACTATATATAGATTCTCTAGTAGCTCTACCAGAAATTGTATGCTTATTCTGCAAATCTGGTGTAGAACTAAGAATAAAGAAGTGTTGGGAACCATTGTCATCTTTCTAGCATTAACCATAGCAATTAAATCTCGTCGAGAAACACGTAATCGTGTATGAAATTCGTCCTAAAACATATATATGCAATAATTATTTTTCGATAAAAAAGGAATTCATTTTATTTTTAAATATAGTCTCACTTTTAATGGTTCTCCATATATTTTACCACCTTCTCCTGTACCCGTGGAATCACCACCTTGTGTTATGAATCCTTTGATAATTCTATGAAAGATAGTGTCACCCTAATAACCTTCCATAGATAACTGTATGAAATTTCTACATGCCTTTGGAGTTTCTTTTGCCCATAATTCTAACTCAACATCACCAACAGTTGTTTTCATTACAACCTAGTTATAAGAAATACATTAGTTTGATTAATGTAAAATACCTTTAAAATCAAATTTATTAAAATTTATTATTTACTATTGTAATTCAAGTTAGAAATTATTTAATATATTAATATAGAAATTTAGAAAGTAAATATTGTATATAGGTTAAATTTTTAAAAACAGATATACAATCCATGGAAGTATTATTAAATGATACTTATTACTTTACCTTTAGTGGCTGGCTTGTGCATATAAATATTACTCATGTTTGTAGGTCTCCTATAATAAAAAAAGTCCTTCATCAATAATATTTCATATTAAATCTTTAGTCATTTATAAATCAGTCAACCAAATGGTTCTTTTCTCGAATAATCATCAGCAGGTAAGACGTACCTTTTACCTCCTTTTAACGTTTGCTTTATTGGCCCAATCAAGTCCATACGCCACAATTTGTTATTAACTATATTAATTTCGGAGTTAGTTCCCAACACTCACTAGATCAGTACATACCTGTTTGATAACTGAAACACACGTTATGCTAAAGAGGGTTATTTTAGGTTTTAAATAATAAAGTCTGCTACCAAAATATCTGAATCTACCTAATTTACAAAAGTACCGCATTATTTATGAAGTTAAATGGCTAAAATATTGTGGTGGGAAAGCTGCACATAGCGTCAAAAACCACTGGTAGCGACATCTGACGAATTTTGCTTCAAGGGTTTACGCAAGCCACCCGCCAGTATGCAAAGAAAGCTCTTAGAGTGATTAAGGGCATTACGTACAAATACCAAAATAAAGTTTTCTTTGTTATAAGCTGAGAATAATTTATTCTTCAGATCCAATATTTAGTAGGGAGAACAAGACCCTTTCATTGTACATTCGTGTGCAACCATCCAGTAACGAACAGTTGAGCTATAACTGAATTTTACCGGCGTACAATATATAAAAATAAAATTCTTAAACACAAAAGAATGTATTAAAAATCAATTTTTATTTTATGAATTTCAATAAAAATTATTTCTACTTCAAAAAATAATTATAAAGAAGTTTTATTAACTTTAACATGATAAATTACCATCGGTATAATTATGCGAATTACAAAAATACAATATAAACTCTTTAATATATATTTAGTAATGTATTAAACATATTTTATTCATTGAATCTATATAGCTCTGCAGCATTCTCATCTCGGCGACTTATTTTTACACTTTGGTGGTAAATTGCAATTATTCAAAAACACAAATAATTATAATTATGAATATCGATAAACTCGGGAACTCTCACCTAACTTTTAAGATAAGAATGAACTTCCTAATGTTTTTAGTTTTCGTATAATTCTCCATTTTAACCAAAATATCGTACATTCTTAGAAAAACTCATATTTTTTAAAAACTAAGGATGATGGAACAATTTCGTTTGCGGATTCGTGTCCAGGAAGGTAAGCTTTAAAAGATTTACCCAACGGATATTACAGAGAAAAAGTTAAAATTTTTTGGACAGTGTATTTTTATACAAATATAAGCATCAAACTATTAGTATAAATTATTGATACTAAACGAAGCAGTCAGAAATTTGTGCTACTCTATGAAAATGCAACGCGCATGCCAAACAATTTCACTTGACAACCGTTTATCTACAAAACGTCATCTTGCTGACAACGCGGTGACATCTACTAAAAAGGAGGCTGCCAGGTTATCGAACTCATCCCCCACACCTCTTTTTCTCGTTTTTTGAACGTCCAGGTCTAGCAGCTTTATCGCTGGCAAAGGGAGGAGGATCGAGCTTTTGTTTTAAAAAGTAAGTAGCTTTTCAAGCTTTGAATCTGCTCGTTGCTTCGGGCGTGCCGATCTTAAAGGATCAACTTTTCACTGGATTGCTCGGGGATGTTTCCAATCGCTTGTTCCAATTCAACATTGCTTTAGAAATAGCGATAGAAATCTGAAAATTTATTGAGCTTTATAGGATATTTTGTGATAAACTAGTTCGTGGAAATTAGATGACTTTAATTCGGTTGATCATTAAGTCGTGTAATGATTAAAATACGTAGGTATATAAATATTTCTCATCGATTCATATTGTCTTGATGCAGGTATATTATCTTCTAATTCGGCTGCAGACTGAACGATGAATAGTTAATTTCAAATATTGTTTCGAAAAAAGTTAGTTTTATTCTTCTTCGCACGCTTGAAAGGAAAAGTTTTAATCAAATGCGAACCGTCTCTGTTAGCGTTTCCCTTTGACCATCGGGGACCAGATAAAGAACCAAGCTTTTCTACAGCGACACAGGTGAATGTCCGACAGGTGAAAAGCCGAGAGTTTGAATAAAGCACGAGCTGAATTACGGGAGAATGACCGATGCAGCGTCGAGATCATCTAGGCGGCGACAGATCAGCCAGAAGAACCGAAAGAAATCCACGTCCACTAGGAATACTCAAAAGGGTTTCTTCAGGTACCTCTCTAAAATAACAAATATTTTATATTAATTTTGAAGATTTAATTTATTATAAATTTTACGGGTTATTTCAAATCGATTATATACTGTAACTTTTAAAATTACGATTCTTAAAATTGACAAATAATAATACGTTCTATATACATTTTTTAGAACACAGTACTATTTTACCAAGGGCCACGAACACTTGGGGGAAGCTAGAAATGTCCTCGAGGAACAATCTCCATTTATTTATCCCCCTTGCTCCCTCATGTTCGCTTATTTTCAATACTGGAAGGCAAAGAAACGTACCACGGATAAAGAACGAAGAATGGGTGTCTTAAAATCCAAGGACTCGCACGAACTTCTGCGATCACTTCGCGTAAGCAGCACGATTTCTTTTAATACCAAACGTGAAATCCTGTTTATTACTGCAATTAAAAAGAAAGTTATTCAGAATTCGTCGAATTAAGAGTGTCCAATTATCGTTGCAGTAGAAATCTAAGATGTCCCTTTGGCTGTTCAATTTCAGAAGAATTTCCTTACTTGAGAGTTTCTGTTGCTTTTGCCAAGGTGGACGTGGACATCGAGGCCTTGGAGGCGAAGAAACACAAAGATTTAGACGAAGCTATAGCCATCACCGACGTAGACCCACAATATTTCTCAGAGCTGGACGGCAGGATAGTAAAAGAAAAGTTTTCTGTGCGCGACTACGTGGAAGATACTCGTGACATTTTGAAGTCTCGGTTGTTAGCTGGACAGGAAATGGACGACTGTATTCGTATAGATCAACAATTCGTCGAGGAGCAGAGACATCTGGATGAGATCAAGGTCTGCCTCGATTTAAAATCACAAAATAATAATCGCTTGTATCTCTAAACTTCGTTTATAAATCGATCCACATAATGTTTACTAAAATTAATCAGATGTTGAATTATATATCTACATTTTCTCTACATTCCACGTACCAAAAGTTACTTTTAATCAACTGTATCTGCTATATTTCTCCTACCAGCGACGATATCGTCGATACGTGAGTGGCTTCGAGGATTTTCTTTCGAAGGATCACGAGAAGAGCATGAAGATTCTTCAGGAAGCTGAGAACGAGGTGAAGATAACTAGAGAGATCACAGAGGAAAGGAATCAGCTCTCTGTCGAATATGGTCGGGTCAGACTGGACGTGTATCACTGGGAGGAGAGCTGGAGAATGGTGAAAATGTGCCAAAGGTTCCTTTTTCAGGTGTCTCCAATCGCTTGGCGAGTGGAACATGACTGGATCCATCGCACTGCTTCCGGCGAGAACGTTACTCACGACAATGCGGACGATTTATTCGGCCAATACAGAATGGTCGATGAGGTTGCTTCCCTCGACGTCCTGATAGGTGATTGTGTCCTCTTATCATTCCTTCATCCGTGAGATAGCCAGATCTGAAAAATTCTTTATTAGACTACTCTTTCCGCTAATTTATCTCGAGCTTATATTAATCGTTTATATCAACTAAGTATAGTTACCTTCTTAAAGATTTATTTGTATCGAATTATTACGAAATAGCAGGTAGGATCTTTGTACGAAAAGAACTCGAAATAACCGTGTTAGTTGGAAGATTTAAAGCAACGTTGCTTATTTGTCGGACTCTGGGATCAATTATACCAAGTCGAGAGAGATTCTCCTGAAATTTGTCATTTTGATTTCTTAAGAATTTTTCTGAACGAATAGATCGTTTATACGAGTAAATTTGTAAGGTCTAGATGTCTCACCGTGCTTTCACTGATTTAGAATAGTGGTCTCCTATCCTCCTACGTGTCTTTTATATACCATATAAGACGAAGAAAGTGTTGCTCCATTTTTCCAGATTTGTTCGAGCAGGATATCAACGAGGCAGGTCCGGCAGAATTGTACTTCGAGGATCCTTTGGAACTCATTCACGTGTTCAGAGCTATAGAAACGCAAAACCTGAACGCGTTGATCCACTTGGAGTCCCTAGCTGAACCCATGGCTGAAATGATGCTAACGATCCAAGCTGCTGATCTACAGATCAAATCGGAAGTCGGAGAAATAACCAACACGATCAACGAGCTGCGAGTAAGAATGTAATTTTCGAGAATTAGAGATACATTGATTTAAAATGAAAATTCCAAGACACGCGATACATACTTACAGGATAGCATTCGTAAATTGGAAACCAGAGCAGCGGAATTGGAAAGCTACGCGAACGAGCTTTTGGAAACCGTGTTCCGGGATTCTGTTTGTTCCGAGGAGGTGCTTTGTCTTCAGGTATTCGTCGAGGATGCGTACGAGAGCTGTGTGGCGCCAAACGACGCGAATTTAGACACTTTCTCGATGATGAAATGGATCGAGAAGACCCACGAGGAGTTGAATTTGGAGTTGGATACCCTACCACCGGAAGTGGTTCAAGCTTGCGAGAAGGAGGGCTTCAAACAGGAACTGAAGGCTATGAAAGAGACAGAGGAAGCTGCTAAAAAGGTCAGGCACTCGAGAATTACAAACATTCGCGATTTTCACGGACCAAGAATATCTTATGACAATCTAAATATCGCTCGAGACTCCTGATCTTCGAAACGTCGTTATCATTGCTTTGTTTTTTACAGTTCGAGTTGATGCATCGGTTGCTGGCATCCCTGAAACGTGCCATGGAGCCACCTCCTGTGAAGATGCGGCCTTTAATGTGGCGATCGATCCCAAAAAGTCAAAGGTTGAAAGAGGTGCCACCCCCGTTAGAGCCAACCGAGGAAGAGATGCAATATTTGACCTTCTTCACCAGCTATTGCAAACAGGAGGACTTCACCACCTATCGTTCTCAGTTTCCGGATGACTTTGACTTGACCTTCCAGGATAAGCGTGGCGAATCGATCGCCAGCAGAGAGATCACAGAGGACAAGGAGAACTCCAACGAGAATTCAGCTAATCGAACTTGAATATTTCCGATTAATACAGAACATCGCAATTCAGAACATACAATTTCTCTAGATTTAACCCTTATCGGTCGTAAGTCACGTCTCACGTGACGACAACAATACTTTGTTGCTGCGGTCGTGCGTCTCGTGGGAAGTGACATGACGGAAATCTTCCGTATATTTACCGAAACCAGCTACAACCTAGTGAGAATCACATATAAAGAGCTAGCGACCGATAAGGGTTAAATAACACCGCTGTTGATTATCGCTGTATGATTAACAGTTGCTTCCTAGACCTGTCTCGCGGCACGAAACAAGTATCGAAGCAAACTGTTGTTCCACCGCGAGACATCTCATCGATCCTTCGATTATTCACTGTCTTCCATGTTCCATGATCTCGATATTACCGTCGCGGTCGAGCTCGTGAATAATTCACGACCCTTTCCGAATTGAAAATCTTCGTCGTCCAATTAAGTAATTGAATTAATCAGGGAACGCAGCAGACGAACGGCATATCTTTCGACTCTTCCCTCTCCCACTCTCTCTTTCTCTCCCGTTTTAATTGAAGCGCTTACGCAGCGCGAAACATCGATCAAACGCAACGTCGAGGACGCCTCGCAGCGTGAAGATTAATTCGAAACGCGAAAACGTCTGCTGCAATTTTTTCCCCCATCTCTAATAGAGGGGTTCGCGCGTACCCCGTTTCACGGCTGGAGACCTCGTGTCCGAGTCATGGTGTTTCAACTCTTACGGGAACAGCTGTGCGCGTGCATGGTACAGTTGAAGGATGCGCCACTGGTTGAGGATGAAAATTTTACGCGACGTGCTCGCGAGAGTGGCACGAGAGGATAAACTTGCCTGGGATTTCACTCCTGTTCTGAACGTTCCTCGTTAAGATCTCGAGTTATCCATTCTACGTCTCGCAATTTCGAAAATCCACCTCCTCTCCGTGAAAGAGATCGCGGCCCCAGATTTCGAGGGAGATTAACTTGCTAGACTTTTGGAAACGCGAGTCCTTGTCCTGTCGTTGTACGAGCATTATAATTTTATATGTTTAGCATTAGTCGTGCAATTTCTGTACAATCGAACAGAGTGACTCACCGTGGTACGAATTCGTTTCAACTTCCATCGAAGATTTCGGGTTTCGTCGCTCGTTGGTCCAATTGTATCACGCAGATCATGGGATCACCGGTAAATAGGGTTAGCAGGGAATGGATGGAAATAAAGAGAGTCAGTGCTGCGTTGGCGTAATTGAAGAGAAATTGGATTTAAGGAAGAAGAGGCAGCTTCTGAAATTCTTATGCAAGGGAAAAGCGTATAGCTTCCATAACTCCGGATTACTTTCGCGGAGTGCTTGGCCAGAGAATGCTCGTAGGTTTCTCCTTTGCATTCCTGTTTCCCAAAGGACCCTGGTTAGAACAAGAGAATCCCGCGGCTGGATGAAGGGAGGGAAAAAGCACACGTGTACCAAGCTGGGAGGCAAAAATCGGTGGAAATGGGAAGATGGAGGGTCGAGAAGAAAGGGAGTAATTTCTCGAATGGCGTGATAAAAAACAGAATGGAATCGGAAGCCCAGGAACGAGGCTGAAAACTGGCACGCTGTTTCCCTGCTACGGAAAAGCTAACATGACTGTTTGACAAGTGCAAACGGCTTCGATATTTCTATTAACATTTAGCTACCTTGGGTCGTTCCACCTTTCCACGTGGATGTCGAGGAATTTTACATCGAACGAACTACCTTTCAGAGTTATTTTATTACTGGAAAATTCTTCGCGCGGAGATAATTGAATTTCTCCTGGTTTTTCCAAGCCAAGTATATTCTTAGATACTCGAGATTCGACGCATAAATTCGGATGACAGTTATAGGAGACGTGTACCAAGACACGACACGATATTTCATAGCAAGAAATTACGGGTACTCGTAAAGAGACTTCACGACGACAGAATCGATTTAAGAAGACGAAGCCAGGGTTGAAACGACTCGGGCAAATGAGGATTTTTAGGATGGCCTTGGCGGCTTGTCTGCGGACTGTCATCTCGACTCGAAAGAGCCACAAAGGGAACCGGAAAGGCGAGGGTGGCTGAAGCAAGTCGAGTACCACGTGTCTGCCATTGATTCCACTTGTAGGGCAGAGGTGGCGAGGGTTGGCTAGTTAGGTATCGCTACAGATGATCCTCTGGATCCTCTTCTTCAATTCCTACGAAGTGGTGACACTCGTGAGCTCCACCTAGCTGGTAACAACGGTTCCTCGAGCTCGGAAAAAATGGAGAGAAGAAATTTGCACTGCGAATTTTCCTTGCAAATAACCATGTCGAGAATTTGCGTTAACTTCGGTCATTCTGAGGAAAATTCCAAAGCTTTCGTTGATCGAGGATCCGAAAAGATGGTCAGAGTGAATTTCGTAAGAAAGAAAGGGGGATGATCGTCTTCTTCATCTCGTTAAAAGTGCCGATTGCGCGAGATTTTGGGAATAATCTCGAAGAGCTTGCTGGCAACCGGGAACTCGTCGTGATGAAAGGTGGAGGGGAGAAATTTGCACGGTGAATCTTGCCTAAAAATAGCCACGTCGAGAATCCATGTTAACTTCGAACATTCCACGGCGAATTCCAGGAACGTGGAGAGATCGACGGGCAGAAAAATTGGCCAGGGTGAACTTCGAACGATACTAAGGGGATGATCTTGTTATCTCGAAAAAAGGAGACTCCTGAACCGCGACGAAAGCATCAGCTGTGCGAGATTTGGGAAGAATGGCCGGCATTCCCGTGGAAATCAGCGACGGAAAGGCCGGATTTTGCGTACTTCGAGGAGGCCTTTCGAGATTATCCCCATAGCAACGAGAATTGCTCGATAGCAGACTGGCTAGGGGGCTCTTCAACCAAGCCAACCCCTCTTCTTCTCCACCTCTTCCTCCGTGTTTCTGTTTATCGTTCCTCTGTTTTCAACCCTCGTCCGCTTCCCGCGACTTCTGCCCGTTTTCAACGCGGAGCAGCAAAAGAGACGGAGAACCTGGCGTATATATACACGGGAGTATTTTTGCCCTTTACCACTGGTTTCTCTTGGTCCTCCTGCGCTATATTATTCACCATTCAGCTGTCCGTGAACTCTCCACGAGCAGAGAGGGCCTTTTGTCTCGCGCGCCACTCATCCTCGCGTTCGAACGCGCGGCCCGCTTTGGATTACGCCGGCCAATGTTTGTGGCTTGCTTTCTTTCCGCTTGTCTTGCATCTTTTCTGTTCTTCCAGCTTCGAAGAAGGAATATTCGCTGTTCGATATTGGCATATCGCGCCGCGACCGGGACGGGATGGGTGCTAGGATGCTTGCCGGGTGGGTGCCATTGCTGAAGCCTCTCGCTGAATGGAGTGAAACAGGGTTTTGGGGACGAAGAGCGTTGCTGTCGCGTTTACTGGAATACTTCCATGGATTTACCTATCCACGAGGTTATAACGCGAGATTCTAAGCGCGGAAGAAAGAGCAAATCGACGTAGGGAGCCCTTTGAACACAGGGGACTTTTTGTTCGAAGCAGCTCTCGTTCGCGTATTCGAGGACGCGACTGCGAGGTCGTATTCAATGGATCGTGAATGTATACGATTTTCTCTTTGGCAAATCGCACGTTGGAGTTCCTCGCGATGTGTATTAGGTGCGTTTTCAATTTGGAAGAAAGACACGGTCGCTCGCGTGTTCAGACGGGTTTAGAAATCCCTGTCGAGCGTCGATGTTTCAACATCCCCTTTGACTTTCTTCGAGGGAATAAAAAGCAGTGGAAAGGAGGAATCTGTTAATCCGGCAGTAGCCGGACAATTTCAACAATGGATCTCCATAGTCCTGCTGAAGCTACTCGTCCATGCGTTTGAATGTGCGTTCGTTTCTGCCACGAGCTACAACTGTTTACAGTATTCGAGCGAATATTACCGAGAACCAGGGACATCTAAAAATGCGAAGAAAAGAGGCTTCGATCGTGGTGAGGAAGGGTGAAACTACGTAGAGGAAATTGGAGATGAGATTAGATTAGACGAGAATTTTTGACAGGAAAGTACTACGACGTGGACTGACGATAATCTTTTTCTAATTATGGTAGTTAACTCGTGCCTGATTTAAAGGAAACGTACCTAACTTGGATAGATGACCAAAACGAAGTTATTAAGGCTGGAGAATTACGATGTCTCTAACGGGACGAATGTTCAACGCTGTTTCCTCGAAGAATTCAATTTGCTCACACGGTGATCAACTAAAAGGCGTGCAACTGATCGCGAACTTTCTCACGAGGAAAGCTTGGAGAAGCGGGTTAATCTCGTTGTTAATGACAAGAATAATTAACAGCCGTCTACAGCAGCTGTTCCTTCATGACCTGTCATTGTCTTTCCTATTTTCTTTCCAACCGGGGGAATTATTTTCGCGGAGAGAGAGTTCGAGGCTAACCAACCCGGGACGAGTAAAGTCATTTCTTCGATCTACCATTCGCATCTTTCGACTAGCCGGTTCTTCCTCGTCGCTGAGGACGTCTTTAAAGGCTTTCCTTTTGCCCAACGAAACCATTTGAAAATTCACTTTGAACTCGTCGCGCGATACCCGCGTTAATTTCTTCCATGAACCGAGACCGTCTGTTTTCGACCGAACAAAGTTAAATTGGATGCTGTTAATCTCTCGAATTTCGGGTCAGCGACTTCACCAGCGAAACTAATGCCAACTTGTCCCCCATGGTTACACATTCGGGTTAATTAGCTTCATTAAACTGGACGGCAAACGCGGCCTGTTAGCGTCTTCTCGCTAAGAACGTCGTCTTCGACGGGGATATCAAGGGAAATTTTAATTGCATCGGACTTGTTCCGCCGCCGTCTGCAGCCCTTCTGAATAATTTCGATACACTTTTGATGCCTGTCACCGTCCCCTGGAGCATGAAAACAGACCTCTTTAAAATCCATCAGAGAACACAGGGGTATCTGCTCGGGGGAGATCTTTCCTTTGAACGAATTCTTAATTCCCTGCTTCAGCGTTCTGAATTTATTCCACTAATTTCTTTGT